CGACTCTGTAGTCGGCTGACAACTCCATGTGAAACTTTTTGATAGCCCGAACACAATCTTCTTTCGTAGCAAACTCGTCACCCTCTTTTAGTTGCCCCCCTGTTGTGTAGTTGGGGTTGTAAAAAACATCCCCTGAGGGTTCATCATCGCCTAAGGCGATAGTGGTCATGTGTTGAGGTGGACAATAGACATTGCCAGGTTGAACTTCATCCTCCGGATTGTTCACCATCTCGTCAATAGTGACTTCAGTTGCTTCTTCTTCTTCGTCAACGACATTGACTTCAGGATGTTCATCTTCCTCATCGCAAAAAACTTGAGACGAATCAAGTTGCTGAGACAGTTGTTGTTGTTGTAATGTAACATATAACACGATATCTGAGAACCCAGAATACTCATGACTGCGGAACATGTTACGCACATCCTCATCGTCTCGCACCTTTAAAGGGAAAAATTTGCATGAATCGGGTCCGCCGAAAAATACTGGGTTTTTGTATATTATTTGTCCAACTGGACCACATTGCAGTTTTTTTTTCTATTCTTGACTTCAGGTGTAAATAATTAGACTTTCTGTCAATTAAAAATTTTGTAACATCCGTGTTTCTGAAATTGTATCCCGACACTTCACATTCGAAAACTTCACCGTTCAGATGAGCGGAAATCATATATTGTGGTGTTTGAGACATTGCGAAAATTGTGGTGTTTAAGTGTTTGAGTGTTTGAGAGTTTGAGAATTTGAATGCTTGAGTGTCTGAGTGTTTGAGTGTTTGAGGGTCTGAGTATTTGCGTGTTTGAGGGTCTGAGTGTTTAATGTGTTTGATTGTTTGAGTTTAAAAAGTTTAAAGGCTTTATAAAATGGGCCGAGTGTTTTCTTGTTTAAAGAGTTTAAAGATTTTTTTTACATGTATCATTAAATTAATCTGTAATTTTCACATGTGACCCTACGAATCAATGACCATGCATCAGTACTATTTTTGCATGTGATACCGCATCAGAAATCTCTGCCTACCACTTGTCACGCATGCTCCACAATCAATGCCAAGTTCTGCTTTCACATGTGATACCGCATCAGGAATATATGCCTTTCACTTGTCAATGAAGCAATCAATGACCTGCAACCTGTTTGATTAGACTAGACAATGAAGGAATCTTGCTTTCACATGTGATCCTGCATGCCTACATTGACCATGCAGGCCTACGAGACTCTATTTTTGCATGCATCAGGACTTGATAAAACGGGACACTGCATTCACCATGCTTGATTAGACGAGACACTGCATAAAAAAGACTCAGCATCTAACATGCATTTACATATCACATGCACCATGACACTAGTCCAACATGCATTTACACGTCACATGCACCATGACACTAGTCCAACATGCATTTACACGTCACATGCACCATGACACTAGTCCAACATGCATTTACACATCACATGCACCATGACACTAGTCCAACATGCATTTACACATCACATGCACCATGACACTAGTCCAACATGCATTTACACAACACATCCTTCACGACACTAGTCCAACATGCATTTACACAACACATCCTTCACGACACTAGTCCAACATGCATTTACATAACACATGCTTCAAGCCACTCGTGGAATATAAATATAGGTACTTTACCCATCAAATTATACTCACACTTAAACTCTCCTACTTTCCTACTCTCAACCCTCAGCTCTCAACTCTCAAATTCTCAACTCTCAACCTCTCAAACTCTCAACTCTCAACCTCTTAAACTCTCAAATCTCGCAAAGTCTCAAAGTCCCAACTCTCAAACTGTCAACTCTCAAACTTGAAAATCTCAAACACAACATCTCTAAATCTCAACATCCCAAACGACAATGTCTCTACTAACCATGGGTGACGCTCACAGAGGGACGGCTGAAAACATCGTCGCGTTTGTAAGTCTTTTGTTATTATCTATGTTTACAATTTTGTCTAAAAAAACGTTAGTACTTTTACTTCTTTTCTAATGTAACATTCATTATTCTGCAGGATGTATCAAGGTTTCGATGTCGTGTGCATGATTACGTACCACACGACCCGCTCATTACGGACTACCTTACTCATTGTGGGTTTGGTGATTTGATCGAAATCAAATCTTACTTCCTCGACATGAAATTTATTCTAGCGTTGTTAGAACGCCGGAGACCGGAGACACATACGTTTCACCTACCTTTTGGTGAGTGTACTGTGACTCTTCAGGACGTTTACATGTTGCTCGGCCTACACATCGATGGTAAGGTCGTCAACGGCAAAGTTGGTATCCCTGACCAACTTTGCGAAGATTTATTGGGCGCCCCTCTTTGTACGGACGGACCTCAGGCGGAAAGCGAGGGCCGCCCGAGGGGTCAGGGAATTAATTTAAAATACCTTAGAGAACAATAAAATTGTATTGTCTTAACTGATGATAGCACCGAGTTTGAGAAAATACAAAAAATTCGGTGCTATATTATGATTTTATTCTTGCACTTTTTATTTCTAGATGACACTGGAAATACCGTACATACTATGTATTTACCATTATTGCGGAATATTAACAAAGTGTGCGAATATAGCTGGGGATCAATTGTCCTCTCCCATCTATATAGCGCACTTTGTAAAACTTCAAAAAAAAATTCCTGCACTTTTTATGGTTGTGCTTATCTTCTGCAAGCGTGGGGTTGGTCTAGGATGCCAATGCTTGCTCCAATAAACAGGAATTCTTTTACGTTCCCGTACGCCAACAAGTAAGTATCTTTTCAAGATTATTTAGCAACTACATATTCTTTTTCAGTTAATAATTTCTGAGATGTGTTTATTTTTTTAGGTGGTCTGTTCCAGGGATGAATTATCAGAGATGTCCAAGGCACTCTATAATTCAATACCGCAACCTAATCGACCACCTTGGGCCAGATGATGTAAGTTATTTACCATTATTTTTTTTAACGTATATGCATAAACCTCTCAAACTCTGTCTAACTTAATTGTCCAACTTTATTGTAGTTTGTCTGGATGTCGTACGAAGGTCTCGACCACAAGCCCAACCCCGACGATGCCGCTGTGTGGACATCAAAGACACCCATAATTAGGTTCACTATGGTGGAGATTCATCAAAGTGACCGGGTGAAACTACAATTTGGAATGCATCAGGATATTCCAGATGCTCCAGTAGACTTGGGGCAGTGGCATCAAAAGGGGGTAGACACACAGTGGAGTTTGAGTGATTGGAAGAAGTTTGTAAAGGACTTGTGTATCCACTGGAAAAGAAGAAGGCAATACGTCTTAACCGACTGTATTGTGCACGGGGCTAGGCCAAGTCTTCAATATATGACTTGGTTTAGGTCTGTCACGACATCTCAGCCTTTCCTGTCCCAGCCAACCTATTTGGCCGACCCAAGGGAACACGATTCTTCGTCAAACCCACAACAACAGTTCAGTGCCCAAAACCAGCCTTACGAAAACCCATACATGCCAATAAATACCCCCTATCAACAACAACAACCTTACATGCCACCCACCCAATCCCAACCTCAACCACCTTACCATTACAGCCCTGATACGTCTTTTGAGCCTACCCCCTCCACCTATAGCCCAAACCGCTCATTTGACCCTACCCCCTCCAACTACCCCTCCAACTACCTCTCCAACTACCCCTCCAACCCCCATTATTTGACTACCACACCCCACAACAACCAACACACCTAGACCAACCCAATTCCATGTACACATTCGGACCACCATATCGTCCATACTCCACCCAACCTCCCCGACAATCCTTCGAAAACATGGGCATTGGGCTTGACTACCGAAGCGTCGCTGACAGTGGACCTCCTAGCTATTAGGGTCAAATGATGCAAACTCTATCTGATACGTCGGGGTCGTCCCAACCATACCCTCCTCCACAACTGAACACACAGAGACCGGACACACCATAACAACCTCGTCGTAGACCTCGTCGCAACGCGCGTCCCCCACAATGTGACACCGGTGATCACTTAGATAGAGCCGGTCATTAGTTTTTTTTTGTTCAATTGTAATGGTACTTTTCATTAGATTCTAAATTAATATAATTTATTTTAACATTACTATATTTTATTTTTTCTTAATGTTATTTAAGTTTCAATTAATTTTTTTAAGTTTATTAAATCAAAAATTAATTTTATCTTTTAAACCTAATTTTTTAAAGTTTATTAGTAATAATTATATTTAAAAAAATAATAATAATTAAAAATATAAATACATATATATATATATATATATATATATATATATATATATATATATATATATATATATATATATATTTAAAAAATATAAAAACATATAAATATTAAAAAAATATCAAAACATATAAATATTAAAAAATAATAATAAACAACTTTAAAAAATAAGCGAAACCCTACCAATGAAGCCATTCGTCAATCCAAACGGCGACTTGGCTGACACTCATTTTCAATTAACACTCTTTCGCCAATTCAAATGGCGAATGGCTGCTGAATAGTTAGCCATTTTGAAATTTTTTTTGAATTATTAGTTATTGTGGTAAATAATGTTTAATATATAGTTATATTAAAAAAAAAATTCAATAATATGCATTTGTTTTTGTTAAAAATTTAAATTTGGTATTAATGTAATTCTCCAAAGAAACAACCGTATGTATAGAGTGGAGGGTCCATTAATTTAATAAATTTTCTTTTATCTGTACAAAAAATCTGAAAGCTGTAGTGGTGCTATTCGATTCAATTCAATCAAATGAAATCAAAATATTCATGTACTAATTTTATTCAAATCTAAATTCTATCTTATGATTATACTCGCCTTTGATTCATTCATTCATAAATATTAAAATTGCAGTGGTGCCATCAGTGTCACACGTCATAGTTAGCATTAACATTCGCCACTAGATCTATCATCATAAAAAGAAAACACATTTGTAAAAAGAATAATAATTGGCACGAAAGATAGAAGAACACAGCGCAAGAGAGAGCGAATCTCTCAGCTATGGCAGAGGATGAGGAAGACGACGAGAGCTTCGGTGATTTCAAGTTCGCTTCCTTTCCGAATCAATCACTCCCTTCCACCTCCGCTTGGGGCAACTTCGTCAACCATTCCAATCACATCAATGGCACCACCGTCTCAAAACCCTCTGATCCATTTCGCGTTTCCCCGGATCCCCTTGGGAAAACTGCAAACAAACCTCGCGGAGGAGCTATTCCTCTTTCAATCTTCGGCGAGGAAGACGATGAACCTGTTTCTGATTCCAATTCCAATGATTTTTTCTCCAACGGCGGTGGTGTTGTGAAAAAGGGATCCGATTCGAATGGTTCTGTTGGAATTAGTGATTTGATTTCCAATTTGTATTATCAGCAAAACGGATCAGCTTTGGTTTCCAATGTTGGTCCTAACAGTCCGAAGAACTTGGATGTGAACGATTTGAATCAGGATGAGGACGAGGATGATGATGGATGGGAATTCAAGTCTGCCGAACGGGAAACTGGAAATGAAAACTTGAATGTTAAGGTAAATTGGGCGAAGCTTACGTGAATGCTTGAAAGTAGTATATACTATACATTTAGTATTCATTTCAACTTTGATTAGTTTTTGCTATTTTGATTTCAAATAATGTAGATGAATATTTGTCTTGGCTTGTTAAATGTAGAAACTAGCTTTAGGAAAAGATATGCACTGTTGTAAATATTCATTCATATATTTACTTTTTAATGGGAGGATCAAAGGCTTATTGATTGAATAGCAGTCAAATGGGAAGAAAAAAAGTTGAAAAGAAATGGAAATTGCTTATTTATTGATTGATTTTGGCACAATTACTGAGAGGTCTTTTAAGTTTTTTTTTTTTATAATCGGTTGGTCCTTTAAGTTTTTTTTTTTAACAACTTGATCCTTTAAGTTACTAAAGGTGTGCATAGTTACCTTTTTTAACAGACCAAAGGTGCTAATTGGGATGCAATTATTTTGAGTGGTATGAAAATGATGATGTGAAACTAGAAATACAACAGTCACATATTTCTAAATGTTCAAAATAGGAGAAAAATGATGTAGAAATCACCCTAAAGAATCAAGTTGTTACAAAAAACTTAAAGGATCAACCTGTTACAAAAAAATAACTTAAAGGACTTCTGGTGAATTTTGCCATCGATTTTTATAAATGCTGTTGGAATTTCCGCCATCATTGCGGTCTGCCCCTAGTCGCCTTAATTGCGGCATTTGGCTTGTTTCCATTGTAGCCTCTAACACCTTCATTGTGTTGGGTTTGAAGGGGGTGGATTTAGTCTCACATTGCTTAGAGATATGATCTGTGTTCTGTTTATAAGTGGGCGCATTTCTCTCCTTACGAGTCGATTTTGTAGGGATGAGTTAGGTCCGACCGAAATTCTGAGAAATGCTTTACTTTTTTTTTTGTGCTGGTGAAGTAACACTTATGTTTTGGAGTAATGTATTAAGAAGCTATGCTTTAAGGCTAGAGGGTCATTTCATGTTTCTTCATAATAAAACGTGCTTGCTTAAATATTCAGATATTTTTTTCTTCTTTATGAATTGCATTTGATTGAAGTGATAATATGTATTATATTTTAAGGTTGAAACGCCAAAGCATGGTAACGGTGCGATTGGAGTTGGTGCTTTGTCAGATTCATCTGCTGCATTTTCTGACAAAGTTGGTGAATGGAACCTGGGGTTTGAGTTTCCTCCTATTTCTGCATCTCACAGCCTTCAGCTAGATCCGAAAAGTGAATCAAATGAAACTGGAGCTGGGTTTACTATGGTCAATCAAGCTTTTGGGAAGTTGGCGAATGCACATTCATGGCCAGGATCAAATCAAACTTTGGTTGGTTGTTTCAACATACTTTCCTTATTTTATGCAACATTGTTTAGATTATCAACGAATATGCATTAACATTAACACAATCTGATTATGGGTTTTTGGTATTAGGAAGCACCAAAAAAGGATAATATATATCTCACTGCTATAGAAGCACCAAAAAAGGATAATATATATCCCACTGCTATAGAAGCACCAAAAAAGGACAATATATATCCCACTGCTATAGAAGCACCCACTGATGATGGCGGAGCTTCCCATAGTACTGTTGATCCATCTCTTGCATCACAATCTCATCAATCTAATGGGTGGGGCTTTGACTTTAATTTCAAATCTAGTTCCATGGGCGAAAACGGCCTATTTTCAGAGTCATACTTCAAGACAGAAAACAACTACGATGTAAACAACAAAAGCAATGCCTCCCCAACCAATATAAATGTTGATTCAGATGTCAATTTGTTTGAATCAAAAGATGCAGTCGCGGAAATTGGAATAAAACATGAGGTACTGAATCAGTTTGATATCTTATTTTGTATATGGGGTATTGTCTGGGTTAAATTTTTTTTTTTAAAAGTACATTCAATCTTGAGTTCTTAAACTTTGGTTATGTGTCTACTAAAAAATTTCACGAATCAGTCTTATGGCACATTTGTTTGTCTAATAGTCAACTAGTCTTCACAATTTTTAAACATATTGTCCTTGCTACTATTCTCTCTATTTCCAGAAGCCGCTAATAGCTTCAGAGAATCGTAGGGAAGCCTTGCCTCTGTCAATTTTTGGTGATGATATGCCTGATACAATTGAACATTCTGTATCTCAAGATTTGTCTCCCCGTGCACCAGTATCTCCAATGCAGAACAACTTTAATAGTCTTCGTTCCAACTTATCTATCAATGACTTGATATGGAGTTTATATAGTCAAAGTGAAGACAAAACTTCTCCTAATGTGACACCAAAAGCAAATGAAAATCAGATTCGTGCCTCCCCTGAATTATCAGGCTCCGGTTTGGATCACAGTGATGATTTTGATGATGACTTTGGGGACTTTAAGGATGCTTCACCTGAAACCACATTGACCCAGGAATCTGCACAAAACACGTCTCATTATCCAACAGAAGTCACTGAGAATGGGTTGCAGACTTCTTTGGGTGTTTTAAATTTTGATTTGATCAATGATAATGATGGTTTTGAAGATGACTCGTGGGAATTTAAGGATGCTATATCTGGAAAAAGTACTCAAGATCAAGCATCTACTATAGATCACAGAGATTTACTGACGCAGTCATCCTCCAAATTAGAACCATCTGATTGTGTGGAGTTTTTTAGCACATTGAAGGATGAGTTGTGCAATAATGTTCTGTTCCATCTTCAGAACCTTAAAGTAGGTAACCTTTCGTGCCCTTTCTTTGATAAAAATTGGATGATACTTACTAACACAGAAATTATTCACCAACAAATTTTCTTAGAAAGCTCGAGATGTTGCGGCTCTTTCAGGCGAAGATGCAAAAGTAAAAGCTCTTGAGGTGGAAATTCAGGTCAGAATATGGACTAGTTTATCATTATCAAATTTTGTGTCTAATATTTTTTTCTGTGGCTATTTATTTTCCCCTTACAATAGCAACTCCCCAAGCTATAGTGATTTATGTTCATTGGTTCAAAGGCCTCTGTCAAAAATGATTGAGCGAGGCCATTAATTAATGCTATTGTGAAATTGGTTTTCTTCTGCTTGTTATTAGGGTATGCATTTCCTTTTTATTGATTAAATTCAATGCATACTTTACTATAGTTTCAGCCTTGTTTCTACTTTTCTTTTCTTGCACAGGAATTTTCTCAGATACTGCATCAGCATCATATGGGCGTACCCGTTGAATATCTCTCAGAAAATTATTCGCCGAGAAATGTAAACTTTAATGAGCTTCTTAAAGTTTTGAAGGAGCCAAAGTTCCTACCTCTTGAATCAGAATACCAGCTAGCATTAAGGTTGTCTGAGGTATGTCTATCTCTTGAAAATGTTGAGTGTTGTATTTTCCAGTTTTACTCTATTGTGTGTGCAAATATATAGTTAATTAAACTTCAATAGGATTTTATTAGTTCTATACTAAATATATAATGATATAACTGACTTTAGCAAAAGTAATGATACTCGTGAGTTCTTAAGATTAATTGAATTGATAAGGATTATATTTTCTTATTGTATTTTATTGCTAACCTTCTTTCTTACTGGATCATTTAGCTTGACAACACTTGTTATTGCATGATTATATTTCTATTTGGATAGGCCGAGACGGATATAAAATCTGCTATGGAACTCTTGAAAGAATCAGCATCAACATTAAGAATTCTCAAGTTGGGATCAGGAGAAGAACAATCTAATTATCTTACAATATGGTCCAAGATTGCCGTTGTTTGTTCTCAAGAGCTGCAACATGGTGCTTATACCTGGAAGGAAGCCGTTCAAAAGAATGTCCATGACCAGTTATTATCTATCCCAAAAGGTAAGCTACTTGGTTAAATCATGTTCAGTCACATGCTGCTGATGCAGATGAACTTATGGAGTATGAATTAACCTCTTCCTTTTTTTGCGGCCATGGATTGACACAGGTGTTCGGTATGTCCATGCACTTGGAGAAATTTATAGAGTGTCAGAAATTGTTGGAGCTTCGGCCAAATTTCACAAACCATGGATCTTATCAGGTTCCATAGATTGTACAAGTTTATTTGCTCTTTTGAACGAGTGTAATAGCCTATGGTTGGCTTCAGGACTTGAAGAAGCTCTTTCTAGTATATCAAAGAATAATAACTTTGATGTGAATGGCATCTCAAGGGACTTAGTTGAATCCATTAAGTACATTCACGAGCTTGATGAGCATGTACTTCAGACCTATATCTTCTCAGGAGAGGAAACTATGTGCCAATTGTCAGCCTTGCCTGCTGGTTGCATACCAGGTATTTGTACAATAAGCTTAGCTGTCTCTTCCTCACTGATATATAAGGTGCATGTGCAAATGTGCTGCTAGATTAATGTGGGAAAGATTCTTTCTGCATTTGGCATTAATAGCTGAATATTAGACACCACTTACATTTCACTTAGTATCTATTTGGATAGTTAGCTCAGAATCTATATTTTTTAAATGAAATCGGAAATGGTGTGATGTTGGAAATCTCTTCATTTTTCATTAAAACAGTTGGAAATCTCAATTACCTATCATCACATACTATGATTTTTATGTACCAGGATTAGATTTGGTGACATGGAATGGGAAGCACTGCTTTGTCAAGCTCGCGAACTTGTGGGTCAATCTAATAAGTTCAGATCCTCCCAAGTGATACTTGCCAATTCAATCCGTCTCTTAAAACAAGGAGATTCTTCCCCCTAGATTTTTCAGTGTGTAGTTAAGGGTTTTTACACTAAGAAAAATCAATGTGAGATTGTAGCAGGATCCTTTTTGGGGGGGAATTAGCAGCTGTTGTTAAAGATCAAGTAATATGGCTGCACTGCTCTTGTTTGTGATCAGACAAAGTCACCAATTAAGTTCATTCTTTTTTCCGAAGGTACCATTCTTTAAGTGGAAGCTGTGGAACAATAGCTGGATGTTACAGGTGTAAGATGTATTACTAGTGATAACAGATACATAGAGTAGAATTTTGGATACGAACCAGTTTGCAAAGGGAATAATATTGTTAAGTTATGCTGATGTTTGTAAAGCAACTGTGATTTTTCCCTTAACCATATTGATAGTTGTTTTGTCATGATTTAATTTCATAAAATAACTTGATTCAAGTTTGTAAACAAACTGTCTCCGGTTATTTTGCAACGACGAGCTGTAATCGATTCTTAATTTAATGGATGCTTTATTTTGAGACAAATAAACATATGAAACTGTTATCTATTGAATACAACATGGTCACCGAGGTGACCTAAGAAGACAATGGTTTGGCTGAAGATAAGATTGAATTTGAGCGGCTTGATATGGCAATGCAGTAACACTTGAAATCCCTGTTCATAAGGGTCAAGGTCAAGAATGTGGGCATAAACAAGGCTCTAAGGGTCAAGGTCGAGAATGTGGGCATAAACAAGGCTCTAGTTGATGGCGGAGCCTGTATCGACATAATGCCACTCTTGTTGAGGAAGATTGACAAGTTCGACACCGACCTGAAACCTCTCAATATGGTTGTCAAACTATGAAAGAAAAACGAGTAAAACTTTAGGGGTTATACATATAGATGTTGTTGTAGGAACAACCTCCGGACCCACTTTATTTGTGGTCGTCCCCACCAAGGCAAACTATAACTTACTCTTTGGTCGAGAAAGAATTTGTGGTGGTATTGTCGAGAATATTGAGGTTGATCAAAATTATTTTTTAGTTTATGTGGATCACATAGACAAAAATAACTTTGATAGACAATTGACGAACATTTCGCCATGTACACTTGTTAGAATTGGATTTTTCTTGCAGAGAGATGTCTATTATTTAATCAAGTTGTACCAACTCGCGGATTTATGTGGGAATATGAGACCATCGGTGGACATAATGGATGATATGACTAAAAAGACAACAATGACTGAGTCGAGCACACTTGCTCGAATTTCGGCATATGTGGCTGAAAATAAAATAAGAGCGACCTTAGAGGCCAAATCCCAACAAAAGGTGGTTGTCGGAGCCACAACAGTTAAAAATGTTAATACAATAAAATTTGGCCAAAATGGTCAAGAAACAACTTCACAAAGTCAGAGGCTCGACCGTATCTATGATGACGAGCCTTTGAGGTTTGAGAAAGACTCTTTGCCTTCAATCAGGAGGATCCACGCTCAAGACCCTTTAAAATATGTCAATTTAGGGAATGATACAGTCAAAAGGCCAACTTTCATAAGTGTCAAGATTGACCCAGGCTTAAAGTCTGAGATGGTTGAGTTGCTAAGAGTATTTAAGGACTGCTTCACTTAGGACTATGATGAAATGACAGGGTTCAGTCGAGAGTTAGTGGAATTGAAGCTACCAATTCGACCTAACAAGAGACCAGTGAAGCTGACACCAAAGAGGTTTGCACCAGAAATAATGTCAAAGATAAAAGAGGAGACCGGAAGGCTGTTCAGGAATAAGTTCATAAGAACTTCCAAGTATGTCGAATGACTTGTTAACATTGTTACTGTAATTAAAAAGAGTAAGACTCTTAGAGTCGGTATAGACATTAGAGACTTAAATGCCACTACTCCAAATGATGAATACCTAATGCATGTGGCAAAAATGCTAGTCGATTCAACTACTAACTTTGAGTATCTAAGACTAGATCTTTATTCTGGATATAACCAGATCTTTATTGTAGAGGAAGATGTCTCGAAAAAGATATTTTAATGATTTGGTGCAACATACCAAAGGGCGATGAATAATATGTTCATGATTTCATCGAAACCTTCATGCATGTATACATTGATGACATAGTGAATGGTCATATAAACCACCTTTGACAATCCCTTGAATGGATGAGGGAAATGGACTTAAAGTGAATCAATTAAAATGTGCTTTTGGTGTTAAAAGGGCGGTGAATAATATGTTTCATGATTTCATCGAAACCTTCATGCAGATATACATTGATGACATAATCATTAAATCCTCGTCGAAAAATGGTCATCCATACCACCTTTGACAATCCCTTAAAAGGATGAGGAAAAATGAACATAAAATGAATCCAGTAAAATGTGCTTCTGGTGTTCATGCAGAGAATTTTCTAGGCTTTGTGGCTCACAAAAAGGGCATAGAGATCAACCATAACAAAACAAATGCTATATTCAACACCAAGCCTCCGTCGAACAAAAAACAACTCCAATATTTGCTGAGAAAGATAAACTTATTGAGGTGGTTTATTTCGAATCTAAGTAGCAAAACTAAAGTTTTTTTCCTTTGCTACGTCTGAAGAAGGAAGAATGATCAATGTGGGAACCTGAACATCAGAAAGCTTTTTGGAGATCAAGACATACATGTTGAATCCTCTTATATTTCTACCCCTGAGAGGAATAAATCAATGAAGTTCTACATTTCTACATCTGATTCGACAATAGGTAGTATGTTAACACAAGAGGATGGGCTTCGAAAGACCCATTTATTACCTTAGTCGAGTGTTGAATGATGCAGAAACTATATATAACTCAATAGAGAAATTGTGTCTTTGTTTATATTTCTCTTGTACAAAGTTGAAGTATCATATAAAAGCCAACAAATGTGTTTGTTTATTCTCACTTTGATGTTATTAAACGTATGTTGTTGAATCATATTTTACATAGTTGAATAGGAAAATGTGCTTTAGCTTTAACTGAATATTCTTTAACATGTGTGCCTTTAAAGACCATGAAAAGTCATATTGTTTCTGATTTTATTGTAGATCATGTGATAGTTGAAGCAACCCAAAATTATGTCAAATTTAAGCCTTGGAGGTTGCACTTTGACAATTCCAGATGTAAAAATCTAATTGGTGTTGGAATTCTAGTTCTTTCCCCCAGAAGGAATTCCAACCACGTTTAAATTCAAAATCCAAAGGTGTTGTTCAAATAATTGTGGACTTGAGACTTTACACATAAAGGGGGAGGGGTGAATTGTGTGGTTTGAAAAAACTTGGTTTTAAAAAACTTTTAGAAGTAAAATCAAAGTTTAAAAGCATTTTGCAAAACTTATCAGCAAAAAAATAAAATGGAGTAAATTAAAAGAGTTATGGAAGAAGGAAAACACCAAGATTTATAATGGTTCAGTCAAGACTGACATAATCTTGTCCCCAAGAATTGATCTTGAGAGTTTCCTATAAAACATTGAGAAGTTTTAGTAGAAAAGGCTCACAAACCCCCTTATACAAGGAATGACGGTTGATCTTCAACCAAGAAATACAAGATGACAGATATGGGCGTTTGTATCTTTTCTTAAAATAAGCTTAAAAGTGAAGTGACCAAACATCATTCCCAATAGTAGATTGAAGTGTTTAGTCTTCTTTCCACAAACACGAACCTTGGAGCGGTTAGTCTTCAAGTTCCAGAATCTTTGAGCTTAATACCTTGATTTTACACGAGATAACCAAAAATCTATGAGATTTTAACACCAGACTGATCTCGAAACTCTGAAGCATTTAATACATGGTTGAGCTTTAACCTATCTTGATTTTAACACCTAGTGATCGAGAACCTAGGAGATTTCATCACGAACTGATATCCAACCTAAACTAGGATTAAATCACACAATTCCAAACAAAAGCTTTTTAGTGGTTTAGCTTTTAACCCAAACAAATTCTAAATGGAAAGTATTCAACCAAGGTGTATATAAAATATTCTTTCGGTGAATTTACATTCTACCCTTTCTAGAATTACAAAAATAATTTCACTCACAAAATCACGTAGACTAAAAACATAGTGAGAGAAAGTTAAAGAAATGTTTTGAGAGAGAGAGAGAGAGAGAGAGAGAGAGAGAGAGAGAGAGAGAGAGAGAGAGAGAGAGAGAGAGAGAGAGAGAGAGAGAAATGTAAAAACACGATTCTGAATGATTTGAAATAAGAAATGTAACCTCTATTTATAGGCATGAGGTTGGCTCAAAAAGGAAATTTCAATAAAATCATTTTGTAACAGGGCCACAGGGAGGACATTGCCTTGAGCTCGTTGGGTGGTGCTAGGAGCACGTCCCCATGTCGTTGGCATTTGTCGCATTTCTTCACATGTTCTGTCGCGTCGTTTTGCATGGTCGGCCAGTAGTAACCTACTCGCAGAGCTTTTCTTGCAAGGGACCTCCCACCTAGGTGTTGAACATTGATCCCTTCGTGGATCTCACGTAGGACGTGGGAGACCATCTCCTCATCAATGCACTTGAGGAGAGGTATGGAAAATCCCCGTCTGTACATTTTGTTCTCGACCAGGACGTAGGAGCACGACCTCCGCCTTACTATGCTGGTCTCATTTGGATCAGACGGTAGCTCGTTTCTAGTGAGGTAGTTGTATACTAGAGTTATCCAGCAACGGTCGTCGCCGACGACGTGCACGTCGAGTGTCAGGGACGCTTTCTCGATGCTGGGTCGTGGGAGTAACTCCTGGATGACGGATTTGTTTCCCCCTTTCTTCTTCGTGTTGGCTAGTTTTGACAGGATGTCAGCTCAAACATTGTGTTCGCGGGGAATGTGTTTTACCTCCACGGAGGAAAACTTCACCATCTTCTCCTTAACCAGGGTCAGGTATTCGAACAAGTTATCGTTCTTGACCTAGTACTCTCCCCGAACTTTGAGGGCCACTAGCTGGGAGTCGGTGCAGATGACAACTTCGTCTGCTCCAAAATCTTTGGTGAGGAGTAGACCGACCAAGA